AGAGGGCGGGGGTAAAAGGTCTCTGGCACACGCTTCTCCACAGCAGCAGACGGAGAAGGCTCGGCTGAGCGAAAAAAATACTTCTCTGCATCACTATTTTGTACCTTAATTGGGTTCCAGATGCAGTTTATAAACTTGTAGCGGAGTTTGTTCGGGATTTTCCATTACGCTGCATTTTTGAAGTTTGCAATCGGGTGCTCTGTTTACGCAACTTTAGCTCTGTTAGCGCGGTAATTTAGACAATAGACTGTTGACAGAGTAACGTTAACATTTGTTTATAAAGGGTAAAATGATGCTTTTGCAGTTGTGTCGAATAGTATGCACTTATGGGAGTTATATGGTACGTCTAAATAACTGTCTTTTGCAGACAGCAAGATATATGCTATAGGCTAGTTAACCTTAGCATAGCTTCCCGTCACAACTCCTCAAATACATTTGGGCACCATGAAAAAGAGTGAGAGTGCTGCTGAGCCATTTCTTGGTCCTCCACCAGTAAAAAAAATAAAACTTCATGTTCTTTGTGGAAGCATTTTACAGCCAGTGGTGCTGCAGATAAAACAAACTGATACTGTATAATGTTTACAAAAGTGAAATCAGCAGAGGCAGAGATATTAAACATCTGTCAACATCTTCTATGCATAATCTGATTAAATCATTCATTTTCTTTTCGGCTAAATCCCTTTATCAATCTGGGTTTGCCACGGTGGAATGAACCACCAATTTATCCAGCATATGTTTTACGCAGTGGCTCCCCTTCCAGCTGCTACCCAGCACTAGGAAACATCCATACACTCACTTTCACACACATACAATAGGGACAATTTAGCTTACCCAATTCACCTGTATTGCATGTGTTTGGACTGTGGGGGAAACCGGAGCACCCGGAGGAAACCCACGCCAACATGGGGAGAACCCAGTCGAGGCTCGAACCAGCAACCTTCTTGCTGTGAGGCGACAGTGCTACTCACTGTGCCACCGCGCAACCTTCTATGTAATGTATTATCACATGCACTAAAAGCATCCTCTCCTGATACTGTCTGTGAACCCCCACACAAGCATCAATCCCCTCAATCAGCCCAGCTATGCTCTGCTAAATCCTCCACAAGCACCAAACCATCAACACAGCCACATTCTGGCAGATGACAATAGCAGGGCTGTATCTTTTAGTATTATATAGAATACTTTTGTTCTGCCTGATCTCCCAGGCAGGGTTTTATTTAGATTTATTTAGCTAATTTTAGTTTTTGGAATTCTGTGCATTGGAAAGAAGTTCTTTCAGAAGAAGAACAGTTTTTTGAAGTATTATTTGTTTTTATTCTGTCTATTCAGTGTCCTTCAACAAGAACGGTGGTGGTGGGGTTCATAATATTCACAATGGTATTTTATTAGTTGTTGGTTTAACCATGGATGAGATAATGGCTTCTATGTTATTTTCTTTTCAATGACGTTTCTTGTCACATGTTCAAAAACAACAACCAATATTGCATGTCTATAATTTATATAATGGGTATAATTAAACAAGACTTTCACTATAACGTAAATTAGAAGTGTAATAGAAAAAAATATATATTTTTGCGCCATTTTGAATTTTACTCAAATACAAATACAAATACAAATACTTTTCCCCCTTAACAAATACAAATACCGGCTGCTCCGCACATCCCTAATATATATATATATATATATATATATATAGGATATAAATATTCTTCATCTCGGGAGGCTTTTTCTGTTCATTCAATTTGCTTTTGTATAATGTTATTATTATTAGCAGTATTATTTATTATATCCATATTTATATTTGTTTTATTAAAAACAAGCTTAGATTTGCCCACCTGCAGGTTTTAGATCATATGGGGCAGCATGTGTTTTAGGATATAACTCAGGTTTTTGAGCACACTTTGTTATTATTGTTCATTTATTTGTTTGCTGGAAATTAGTACTGAAATTAGAAATAGTTTTGAAACAAATCTTTGCGCTTAACAAACAAAATAATTATTTATAGGCTAATTGATGTCTCTGGTACATGGTTTCCCTATCCACGTGAGCGAAAGTGAAAGTGAATTATGAGATGCCTTATCTCTCATTCTCACGCTGTAGATGCTCTGTTTAACTGTTTTGTTGGTAGTGAACATGTTCAGTTTTTCCACTTACACTTACTTTACGTCATGTAAATAGCAAATGTGCTTATGGCGTGACGCAACTGGCTCTTAAAGGTAATGGAAGATGAGACTCTGATTGGTTTATTCTCAAAACACACCTTTAACTCATTAAGAAAATAAACTCAACCCGTTTAGGCCATGTGCCACAGCGCAAAGCAGATTTTTCGTCCTTAAATTAGCAAAAGTGTATTCTGACATGCCCTGAATGCGTTTGTGCCCTGTGCTTTCCGCATGGACCGTCAAAATAGAGCCCGTAGTGTGAAATCAGACACAGATCTGGGGCCCCATGCACGCAGACTTGCGTTGAATTCATATTAAAATATTGCGTATGGACAAAGCTGTAAATGTGCGTACACAGTGTTTTATACATCTGAATTTTTACTGTGTACGCACATTTACAGCTTTGTCCATACGCAATATTTTAGGATGAATTCAACGCAAGTCTGCATGCATGGGGCCC